GATGAAGATCGACAGGCAGAGATGTTCGACGTTTGCCACACCCTGGCCCCACAGTGACTGGCTCCACGGCCTTGAGCATGTTACTTAACCTCTCTGGGCTGTTTTCTCGTCTGAGAGTGGGGCCCGTGACAGCAGCTGCCTCACAGGGCTGCTGTGAGGATTCGCTGGGTAACCCTGGCATGCTACCCGACAAGGAACCTGGCGCATAGGAGGAGCTCAGCAAATGTCTGCTGTTATTATAATTAATAGCAAAAATGAGAAACAAATGTCCAACAGGAGAGGATCTGTCAGTGAATTATGGCACGGCCATATGGCTGCATATTATGCAACTGCTAAAACGTTTTCTTGAAAATTGTTTAAGAACACTGTAAACTTATCATAAGTAAAAAATGGATGTTAAAATGGATATTAAAATGTTTACACCATATGGTCCCAACTTTATGATGGAAATACATGCATATTTTTAAAAGGCTGATGTGAAATTTAACAAAAGGGAATAGTGATTACAGCTATGGAGTAGGATTCAATCTTTTAAGCATCTCTGCCGTTTCTACCTTTCCCTGGTTTTCTACAATGACTATGTGTTATTTTATAGCCAGGAAAAATGACCAGTATGTGTTAGTCAGAGAGTAGCTCTGGTGATAAGAAAGGAATGAACTCAGCGTTCTGTCACCTGCTTTGGAAGCTACAGCTCTCAGTCCCCAGGCCTACTGATGGGCCTTCTCAGCAAGGTGATCTTCCCAGAGAAGTACTGATTTCCCGTGGTTCAAAGTCAGTCCCACCTGGCTGTGAGGTCTGCTCAGCCACCCTCAGGGGCCAAGAGACAAGTACCCAGAGATTTGGTTCCATGTTCCTGCCTTTCTGGGGGACCGTGGGCTCCTGGACCCAAAGCTAGCTCCATTCATTTGTCCAGGCACACACTGAGGCCCAGGGGGCCCAGCCCCACAAACACAAAGACGGAAGCCACAGTCCTAAGCTCAAGGAGCTCAGAGTGGGTCAAGAGACGGACCAGGAGACAGTGTGGGCAGCAGCACAGCCGAGGTGCATGTGTGTGACGGAAATCATAGGAGGGCCTGGCCCAGCCTGTGGGAGGCAGGGGAGGGCATGGGAGGGCAGGGCTGAACTCCTGGCAGCCAGGAGGCAAATGCAGAGGCAGAACGGCCAGCCTGAGACAGGAGCTGAAAGCCATTCACTACGGCTGTTTATGGTGGTGAGGTCACGGTGTTGGGGGTGGACAGGGCGTCTTGCTCATCATGCTAAGAGGGCTGGATTTTAACCTCATGGCAGCAGGGAGCCACTGAAAGATTTCAAGTTTGGGAGAGACCTGCTGACGTAGCTTTCAAAAGTCACCCTGGCTATGGGGTAGAAAGTCCACTGAAGGGGGTAAGAAGAGAAGCCAAGATGCCGGTTGGGAGCTGTTTGCAGCGATTGAGACAAGAATTAATATGGGCTCAGACCAAAACGGGGGTTCAAACTAAGACGGAGAAGATGAGCAGATCTGAGGAGTATTAAGGCAGGAGAATCCAAAGGATTTGGTTTAGTAGATACTTGGGGAAGAGAGAAGTCAGGGTAGGTCCCAGGACTCTGCATATTTCGTGGTACATTCGTCACAACAGAGAATAGAGGAGGAAGAATAGATTCTAGGGCCGGGAGAGGTTATGAATCTGGTTCTGCTGAGTGTGGGATGTCTGTAGCAAGATGGTCAGTAGAGAGGTGCACATGAAGTTCTGGGGGTCAGGAGAGGGGTCTGGGCTGAGGGTGTATATTTGGAAGAGCGTATGCAACTGAGAGGAGGGAGGACAGAAGCATGGGGAATACACGCATGATGAAGGGAGAGGAGCAGCTCACAGGGCAAACAGCAGAGAGAGGGAGAAAAATGTGCAGGCAGAGGAAGAGAGAGACGCACATCGTGGAGGACAAGGGAGGGAAAGGGGGGCTTCTAGAGGGAGGCTGCCATGGGTGTTTCAGACCAGCACAGGCCAGGCAGGTCCACTGTTCAGTACTGGGGGGCCACTGGGGCCCTCTGCTGGGACCCTTTAGTGAGGCCCTAAGGGGCAGGCCCACACACCAGGGTCTCCAGCACCTGCCTGGACCCAGCAGATGCTGGAGACACATTCACCAAGGGGAAAATGGGAGGGCGGGAGGCCTGGGCACAGGCCAGACCACAGTGGGCAAGGGATGCCTAGCCATTCTCCTGCCTGGGTCTGGGGAGGGCAAGTACTGCCCCTGGTACCAGACCCCTCGAGCCCTGGAGAGGAAGTGCGTGTGGGTCTAAAGCTGGTGGGCGGGACTCTAGGACCAATGGCAAGCTCTGTCCCATTGGTGGGACAGCCTCAGGCCCCCCACCGAGGGGAACTGGAAGAGTCTTTTCTGTCTCTGGAAACAGCATAGGTAAGGGGTGCAGAGGGGAGCACAGGGCATTTGCTGCGAGAGAGAGTGCCACCTAGTGGCAGGAGGTGCTCACACCAGGCTTCTGCCGCACCGTCACACCCATTGCCCTGACCACTCCTAGGCTTTTGGGGGCCTTTCATGCTGGCGTCCCGTGCACAGGAACCAATGATCCAGGGCTTTTACCACCTGGGCAGCACCTGAGCCTCTGACAGCAGCACGCCCTGCCGCATCAGCTGAGGTTGGCTCTGCCAATGGAGAAGGTGGGCAGGCTAGAATTTTAGCCAAGACCCATTCTGCCTGGGCAGAAATGTCGGGTGCTGCTCCCAGGGCTGTACCTCCACAGTGGGAGAGACTGGACTGCTTGCTTTCGCATGTCTTCCCGTGTGGTTCAGGTCAGAGGTGACCGTGGGGGCCGGGGGCAGTATGCAGGGCACCCCAGCAGCAGAGAACACTCCTGCTACCAGCCTCCCCAGAGATTCTCCCCTGGCTCCAGCCTGCTCCCTGGAGACATATCTGAGGCTGGCCTGGCTGTCTTGTGGACACCCCACGCCCAGGACAGCCCAGATTCCAGGGTCACACCCACACGCCCACAGTTCACTCTTGACTGCTCAGCAGTTTCAGCCCAGGTGAGGTCACCATGACCTCCTTAAACAACTCCACGGAGCTCATTTTTATTCTCAGCTCTTGGTTTAGCTAGGCAAGATAAAAAGAGCTCTCTTAAAAACACTTTTTAAGGGCTGGCCTGGTGGCATAGCAGTTAAGTTTGCGGGCTCCGCTTCGGCGGCCCGGGGTTCACAGGTTCGGATCCCGGGCACAGACTGACGCACCGCTTATCAAGCCATGCTGCGGCAGCATCCCATATAAAGTAGAGGAAGACGGGCACGGACGTTAACCCAGGGCCAATCTTCCTCAGCAAAAAGAGGAGGACTGGCAACAGATGCCAGCTCAGGGCTAATCTTCCTCACTAAAAAAAGAAAAAATCCACTTTTTAAACTTCCCCTTATTACAAAAGAAATGTTTTACAAAAATGTGTGACTTGCAAAGTGAAAATCCCTTATTTAGCTCAACCCACTATCAAAATTTCCTATTAACAGCCTGGTGTATATTCCTTCAGCTTTTAATTTCTATACATGTACGTGAATGTGTACGTGTCTGTGTGTGTGTATCTAGGGGGGTGTATGTGTTGTTGTTTTCTATACTGACATACAGTTCTACAACTTATTATGACTTTTTCCATTAACAGCATTCTGCTAGAGGCATTCTTACCACCCCATCCCAAATTCAGGTTAACTCAGTGACCCAAAACCAGGGTGGGAGGAAAGATGGTGCCCCAGGACTCAGAAGTCTGAGGGTTTCAGGTAGATATGGTTCAGAAGCCAGGAGAGAGGGACTCATGCTAGAAACCCCAATCAGCCCTGGAAAAAATATCCCAGGAGCGGGACGGGGCAGACTCGACACCCCTTATCTCCTCTCCAGCCATGGCTGACGGTGCAGTCAGCACAGAACAGGCAGCTGCATGAGTGCAGCCCAGGCAAGCTGTGCACAGTGAGCGGCTGTCCCAGGGAGCTGCCTGAGCCACCAGGACGCCCTGTATGTTTCTGCTGAGTTAGGTGCACAGGCCGGGTCACACCCAGCATCAGAGCTTGGGAACTGGAACTTGCACCAGGGCAGAGCCCTGTGACATCCAGGAGAACAAGGGCAGCTTCAAGCCAAGCAGCCCCATGTGCCAGCCCTGCTCTCCTCCTTGGCCTCATGGATCACAAACACCATCCTCAGCACTCTACTTCTGGGAGCCAGCTCACATCAGACACGCCACAGGCGGCACTATTTTATGGCCAATAATTCCAACTAAGCATAAAAATAAAAGGAAAGGACTAGATGGAGATGCTGATCAGGATACCGGGCTGCAGGGTCCAGATAAGACTTCCAGAAAGGGAGAGCCCCATAAGCACCCAAAAGCCTCCTGTTGCTCCAGTGACTTGCTGCTTCTGAACCCCACTGTCCTTGCCTGTTAAGTGGAAGTAATATAGACAGCAGCTATCTACGATTACAATGAAGTGATGTGTGTCAAGCACTTAGCAGGTGCTTGCTGGACAATAAACACTCAAATGCTACCCACTGCCGTTATTATGATTGGCTGAGGGCACCCAGAAAAGAAGTAACTCCCTTCGGCGCATGGAGACCTCCAGGGCCATTGGGGCCTCCCTGGGAACAGCTAGGAACACCTTGGCCCCCATGTCGCCAGAGTCCAGGCCAGGTCCTAGCACACAAGGGGGTTTCACTGTCCTTGGACAGGGTGCTGGGTGGGCAGGGTCAGGCCAAAGGCTGAGGAAATTCAACAACCAGACCCTCTGCAATCACAGGGGCCCTCAGACACCTGCCTTTCTTGCCTCTCCCACACCTAGAAAGGGATCCCACCATTACCTGATTGGGTCCTTGGCTCCCAGCTGGGGTAGAAGATAGGCCCAGGCTGGAGGCTCCTCGTCTAGATGCTGTGGATGGGAGGGAGCTGCAGCCCCTCCTTGTCTGCCCTGGGAGCTACACTTTCTAAAGGAACCACAGCTTGGTGTCCTAGGAGGGGTGCGGCTGGCCACTCGCCCTTGACTCACCCTGGTCGATAGAGTGCTGTGGCAGCTGGCTGAGCTGGCTGTTGACTACCCCTGCATAGGTGCGCAGGAACTCCTCCTCGCTGGCCGTCAGCTGCAAGAGTGAGAGAGCTGCAGGTAAGGGGTGCATGCACCGGCTCCTGAAGGTACTTTCTCCTTTGCTCCCCAAGCCTCTATTCCTGAGATTTGACCTTTCAGTTCCAGAGCAAGCATCCCCTCCTACCCTCTTCCTGCTCCCCTGAAACTTGGTCCATGGGCCCCCAGGACCTGGCACTGGGATCAGATCTGAGGCTGGATTCTAGTGCAGCAGAAAGACAGGCCCTGCTTCAGGAGACCCTCTCTCTCTTTTTGAGAAATGCCCCCACACATCTACTGCCATCTCAGCTCCCATCCTGCCCAGTGGCCCTCAGATGCCTCCGTGGGAGAAGACTCTCGGGGTTGGGAGAGGGGAAGAAGGAGGGATTAGGGTCTTTAGAACTCTCACCCACCTGGCCCAAACTCAGCATGGCGTGGGAAGAACTGGACATGCTGGGCTCCATGCCACATGAATTAGCTACAGAGCCAAACCACAGGCCCAGCATCCCCCTCCCCAGACCACAGCCGCTACAGGAGGTGGCTACAGTCCCTCTGCTCTGCCTGCATCAGGCACCCTCCATGGCGGGCCTGCTGCTCGACACCCCAAAGGCACTCACGTTTGATCCCATCTTTCTCAGCATGAGCAGCACTCGGACCTTCTGCTGAATGTACATTTCCTCCGGACTCTTCCCGGGAGCCCCCTCGCGGTTCATCCCCTGGCCAGCTCTGGTGACTCCTGCAGAGTGAGGAGAAGCACCAAAGGGGGGGCGGGTGTCAGGACAAGACATACCCAGATACAGACAGGGTGACTGGCAGGAGTTGTCAGGCAGCCCACAATGCTTCAGGGTCTCGTTTCTGAGAGCCCAGAGCAGGTGGCAAGTTGCATGTTCCTCCCTCACCCACAGTGGCCCCAGCCAGACTGAGCAGATATGTCTTAGAGCAGGCACTGGCGGCCAGTGCCCTCTGAGTGTGGAGCTGTCAGGCCCAGGGGGACTGAGCTGACCCAGACTTCTGGCCAACTCTACTGTCCAGCCACCCCCTCAGCAAGGCTCTGCTATGAGCCACAGGGCATGTGCTGCATGAAGCCCAAAGTGTCCCAGGTTTTCAAAGCAAGCAATTTCCACAAGAAGCAAAAGTGTGACATGATCAGAGACAGCTGGCTGGGGCCTTTGGCTTGAGAAAGCATGAGATCAGTACCCAGCCCCCAAACACCAAGACGGCGCCTTCTGCAAAAGCCACTGAAAGGTTCAAGAGGCCAGCTCTTGGGCTGGGTTCCAAGGAGTACCTCGATGGGGACAGGAAGAGCCAGTGGTGTGGGGCACAGGCACCCGCCCAGGCTCGCTGCCGTCACCCTCACAGGCCCACCCCACCTGTCAGAGGGCAGCTCCTGTGGGCAGCAGCTGTGTCCAGGTGCAGCAGGGCCCTGACCTGCAGAAAGGTCCCAGGAGAGCAGTCCCAGGGTTTCCTCTCTCCAGGAGGAGCCGGCGGAGAGGAAGCTGGGCGTGGAGGGGTTTGGGTTACACACTTGTAACTCCTGGATGAGTCAGAAATAACGCAGCAGCTGGTGGGGGTGGAGCCTCAGCAGCCCTGGTGCCAAGGAGCTGTGCTCGGAGGACCAAGGGAACCGGGCTGGTGGGTCAAGGACTCTCCTCACACCGTCCATCCCTCAGGGGCCAGCAATCCCTGGACCAGCAGGCTCTCCCGGGCAGGGCTGCTCTCTGTGCAAAGGGTGGACTCAGAAATGCACCAGAGCCTGGGCAGCAGCCTCCCTGGAGGTCCCTGTCAACTGCTTAGTCCCCATAAGCTAATAGGGGCTCTCGCCCTAAAGCCCACACAACAGGCTAAAAAGCTGGCAAGTTGGGGCTTAAGCAGCAGCTGTATGCTGGACGTGGCAGGGTCTCCTTTCAGGGCCTTCCTGTCCACCACTAAAGCCCCAGGCTGCCTATTCTACTATCTGCCCCCTGCCACCTCTGGGCTCAGAACGGGGCCTAATTAACAACTGGTAACCGGGAAAGAGGCGACATGTCTAACTTCCTAGCACAGCTGAGTGGGAAAGCTCGGTTCTGGGGTATCACTTCTCCTCACGTCGACCCCTCCTCACTTCCTTCCACTCCACCACCCCACTCGAGTAGCCAGAATGATCTTAAAAAACCCCAGAACTGATGGCATCACTCCCCGCTTCCACCTACCTCAGGATACATTGCCCAGTCCTTGCCAGGACCCCACGAAGCCCCGCATGGTCAGCCTACTTCCCTCTCCTCATTCCTCCCCTTGCTGCTTTGCCTTCCTGGCCCCCAATCTGGTTCTAGAACAGGCTAAGAAGCTCTTTCCCCCTTTGCACTGGGTGTCTCCTGGGCCTGGAACCAACTTCTTTTCATCCTTCATCTCACTTAGACGCCTTCCAGGGAAGCCTTTCCTGACAGCATAACCCTGTGCCCACCCCAGGCCCTCTCAGTCACATGGCCCTGTCTCGCCCCAATTTTCTGAAAGGACCCTGTTGGAGCGCTTGCTTATTGTCTCTCCCCGGGCCAACTGGAAGGCCAGGGCCGCATCTGCTTCACTCACCTCGTCACCCCGCAGCCCAGCACCACGCCTGGCGGGCGCTTAATAAATACTGCCTGTTGGCTGAACAGAATATCGAGACAGCCTGGTGTCTAGGCTCCCCACCCCCGACAACATCCACATCAATTCAGGGCCAAATGTCATCATGTTGAAAGAGACCAAAGTACCAATCTAGTCTCCATCACCAAATTTAGCTTTTCCAAAGGACTCTCATTCCTGAGTAATTTGAGTGCCTTGGGCTATCATGCTCTCCAGAGGAAATGTGAAATGCCCCATAAAGCCTTAAAAATGGGAGTTAGGGCTTTCAGGAGTAAAAACCTTCCAGTTCTGTCCTGTGTCCAGGAGCTAACGGTCAGTTTGCTCTCTCCCTGTGGAAGACAGCATGGAAGACAAGTGACCGGCCACTAGGTGTCACCAGAAACAAAAGAATCAGAATTCAGTGCTTCCCCCAACACACACAACACACCTCCAACTCCCCAACAGGCCCATCTAGTTCAAGCCCTTATTCTGACCCTACTGTCAAAAACCACACCCCAGTCCTGGGTCCCAGAGCAAGATCCATTCATTCATGCAGGGGGCCAGCTCCACCCAGGCAAGGACATGTATCTGGTCTTGCTGCGCACCCCAGGACCTAGGGTCCTGGCTTCACTCCAACAGAGATGTGGGCTCAGAACTAACAGTAGAGAGGGGGAGGGGAAGGGGGAGG